ACTGAATGAATAATTAATACTATTTTAAAACATAAGAAAAAAATCCAGATGGGTTTACTGGTGAACTATACCAAATACTTAAGGAATATTACCAACTCCGTAAAATTTCTTCCAGAACATAGAGGCAGACAAAAATGCCTACTAACTCTTTTATGAGGCTAGCATTACTTTAACATCAAAACTAATCAGTTATTACAAGAAAACTACAGACCTATACTTGCCATGAACATAGATACAAAAGTCTTCAACAAAACATTATCAAATTAACCCAACAATATGTAAAAATGATAGGGGAACTCAAGAGTTAATAATTATAGAGTTAAGAGTTTTAGTTGATAGGCTTACATGATTAATGCAGGTGGAAAGCTGTTGTTTCAAGAGCTGGAATACACGACCTATGTGACTCCAGGAGGTTGACAATCAATTCAACCTTTGTGCTACAGGGTGTTTGCGAGCAGATGGAGATGATATCTGAGCCACTGTGTTCAAGGGAGGGAATGTCTGTGACACAGATAAAGAGTTAGTAATCACTAATAAATAAATACTAAGGAAAATCACTGCTGGAACAACTCTGATTAACCTTTTCTAAACCCTTTAGCTACCATTTTCTTCTTATAAAAAGGTTGGCTTGAGATGAGATGTTAAAATGGAGTACATAATCTGCTGTCTTCTCAGAGAGCCAGCAACTGAATAAAGTGCCAATAAAGATTCAGTTCTTGTTTCGACTTATTGGTTCTCGTAGTGACAGGCAGCACAAATGCCGACTTTTCTGGTTTCACTTTCTGGCAACTCTGGTGGGATACATTTGGGACTCTTCAGTAAGTCTGGGCATTTGGTGGGAAACCCTGTTGGCTGCCTGGATTGGGGGCCCTCGGGTGTGGATTTGAAGACTCCCTAGGAGCTGTCAAATGATTTCACTTGGGGACTCTCCTTCTCTGATTCTCGGCATTCCCCATTGCCTTAACTTTTGATTGAATTGCTGCACTTTTTGGTTCAGGATTACAGTCCTGGGTTATGATTTAGAACGGCTGTGAGGAATTAAGGTGCCTTCTGGTTCATGTGATATTACAGAGTTCTGTCTGGTAGAATAGGTGGAGGAGCCTCTGTTCCAGGGAACAGCCATTTTTGGTGAATTCTGACTGGTTGGTTGACCTATGCTTATGATCTTATGACTAAAAAGAAAATGGGCTTTTATTGCAATACCGCTTGGGTTATGTATAATCTGGACTCAGGAGAGCACTGGCCACTGAATGGGTCTCTAAATTACTATACTACACTGCAATTAGAGTTGTTTTGTCAAAGATTGGGGAAATGGGATGGAATATCTTATGTTTAGGCTTTTATGACTTTATATAATAAAGATGCATAAGCAGGATTAAAAGGAAATAGATTGATGGCCTAGAGAAAAGGGAATTTACCTGTGAAAGATAGCAGAAGCTCAGAAGAAAGGGACCAGAAAGATTAGGATGTCATGGCTGCTGTGAGCATGGTCAGGGTTTCCATGGCCCCTCCAGCCGTGGGGGATCCTCTTCTTACCCAGCTGAGGAAGGTGAAGGAGGTGAGCCTCAACTTGTCTTTCTATCCTGAACCTGTAGCAAACCAAATTCAGTGGGGAAAAAAACCCCACTACTGGGATAGGGCAATATACCCTGCAAAAACTTCCAGTGGGAGTAAGGCCAGAGGGTCAGCCCACTGGATTTATTAGGCACATACTCCATTTTCTACAGTGGATCTGTTAAACTGGAAAAACTCAAATCTTTCTTGTAGGGATGATTCTACTAAAATAACTGAATTATGTTATTTCTTAGTTATTTTTTGCCACCCACCATCCCAACTGGGCAGACAAACAAACCTGACTGAATATTTTACTTATGGTGGATGAGCAGAGGTTAGTATTAGATAAGGCAAAGGAAGAGGCTTGGAGATTGCGCCAAGAAAATCCAGAGGGAGCTCCCAACCCTATTAAGGTAACACCTTTAACTGAACCCAAGTGGGACCCTAATGAAAATGGCCTTTCTCTCTTAGAGCATAAGAAGTACATTCTTGAAGGACTGAAGAAAGGGGTCCTTAAGCAGAACAGTCTGTATATGGCACAGGTGGTACAACAGAAGCCCTCTGAAGACCCTTCTGAGTTTATATGTTCATGAAAGGCAGTGCGTTGCCCTAGGAGTCCTTACCAAAATGCTTAGTGACATCCCACAACCCATTGCATACTTGTCAAAAAAAAACCAGGTCGCACTGTCCAGGGGTGGCTAGCCTGCTTAGCTTTTACAGGAAGCTGAAAAGTTTTCCCTGTGATGACCCAGCACTATTTATGCACCCCACCAAGTGCTGAGCCTGCTGGAACAAAAAGGAAATTTGTAGATCACTGCTGGAAGAATCGGCACATGCAAAGCAATTCTTCTCAACAATCCCAACATCTCCCTCAAAACTGTAAGTAATTGAAATCCTGCCTCTGTTCTCCTGGAGCCTGAGTAGGTCACACTAATGCATGCCTGTGGTGAAATAATTGATGTTTATTCTAGCAGAACTGATTTACAGGACCATTCTCTAGAAGAGACAGACTGGATACAATATGCAGATCGAAGCAGTTGCATGGACAAAGGAAACAGAAAGGCTGGGTATGCCTTGTGACTTTTGAAGAAATGGTAAAGGTGAAGGCCTTACTACTGGGAACCTCTGCTCAGAAAGCTGAACTGATTGCATTGACAAGGGCACTGGAATTGTCACACAAAAAGAAAGTGAATGTGTATAATGATTTGAGGTATGCTTCCCTAATTTTGCATGTACGTGGTTCCATATGGAAGGAAAGGGGACTGTTAACCTCCAATAAAAAGGAGATTAGCAAGCAGCAGAAATTTTGAAATTATTAGTAGTAGTCCACCTACCTTCACAGGTGGCAGTTATGCACTACCCTGGGCATCAGACAGAGGACACTAAAGTGGCTAGAAGAAATAATGTGGCCAACTGAGCAGCAAAAGAGGCTGCTAGAGGAATGTTTATAACTCCTTTGGTACCTGTTCTAGACTTGTCACAACTCGACCCTGAATATTTGACTGCAGACTTAGAGAAAGCTGAGAGCTGGGGTTTTGATGAAGGTAGCCCTGACAGCAAATGGAGAAAGAATAAGAAAGCAGTTATACTGCTTCCTGAACATTTAGTAGAGCCAGTCATGAAACATTTGCATGAGGTCATGCACTGTGGAAGGGATTCATGAACCACCTCTATTAAACTATAGCTCACAGGTCCTGGAATTTCTTTTTTCTTTTTTTAAATAAATTATTTTTTTCAAATATATTTGTCTCTGCCTTCCCCCCACCACTTTCCCCTGTTCCCCTCCCCTCTCTCCCTCCCTCTATCCTTCCCCACTTTGGTTTTGTCCATGAGTCCTTGCTATATGTTCCTTGACTTGCCCCTTCCCTTCCTTTTCCCCAGCCCACCCCTTCCTCCTTCCCTCTTGTCTCTGTTGGTTTCTTTTCCTTTCAGTGTTGCTGGTCTTATTTTCCTTGCATCTTTGTATTGTTGGTTAGGTTCCACTTCTAGGTGAGATCATATGGTATTTGTCTTTTGCTCCCTGGCTGATTTCGCTTAGCATAATGCTCTCCAGTTCCATCCATGCTGTCGCGAAGTTTAGTAGTTCTTTTTTTTTTCTGCTGCGTCGTATTCCATTGTGTCAATGTACCATAATTTTTTGATCCAATCATCTACTGATGGGCATTTAGGTTGCTTCCAACACTTGGCTATTGTAAAATGTGCTGCTATGAACATTGGGGTGCATAGGTTCTTTTGAATTGGTGTTTTGGGATTCTTAGGGTAGAGTCCCAGCAGGGGAATCACTGGATCAAAAGGCAGTTCCATTTTCAGCTTTTTGAGGAAATTCCACACTGTTTTCCACAGTGGCTGCACCAGTGTGCATTCCCACCAACAGTGTACTAGGGTTCCCTTTTCTCCACAGCCTGGCCAGCACCTGTTGTTTGTGGATCTGTTTATGATGGCCATTCTGACCGGTGTGAGGTGGTACCTCATTGTACAGAAAGTAACAGCTAGATGTGTTGTGCTCCCAAATATGAACCCCAAGACAGATCGCCATCAGAAGAAAGAAGGGATACAATACCAAGGACAGTGCCCACTTGAGGACTGGCGAATAGACGTTACCCAGATGCCTAGGGTCTAAGGATGAAAATATTCACAGCCTCTGTTGATAACTTTTCAGGATGGGTAGAAGCCTATCCTACTAGAACTGAGAAAATCTTCTGAGGTGGTGAAAGCCCTACTGAAGGAAATAATGCCTCACTTCCGCCTACCTGGCACTTTCGGGGTGAAAATGGACCTGCTTTTCAGGAATTACACAGAAAGTTAGTAAACTTTTAGGAATTAGGCGGAGACTCCACACCACATGGAGACCTCAGGCTTCTGGGAAAATAGAGATGAATCACACCTTTAAGAAACTGTCAAAAAACTCCTTTCCAACACGATGAAGTTTGTCTTTTATAGACCTCAAGGGTCGCCGGGGCTTGGCCCCAAGAGGAAAAGCTCCCGGTGTAGCTCAGCCAGTGTCCCGGAGAAGCTGCAAGGTCCCGTCTCCTTCCCGCAGGCCGCTTGCCGCCTCCCCCGCGCCGCGCCGCACCCCACCCGCCGGGCCGGACGCAAAACGGAAAACACAGTCCTGGAGGCGTCGCCGGCTGGCCCTGGGCCAATGGCAACCTAGGAGAGTGGCGTTTCTCAAGGCCTGGGAGGAGGGGGCCGGAACTTCCTGCGTTTCAGTCCAGCAAGTCCCTTTCCCAGCGGGTCGGTACGCCCCTGGCCGTTGGCGCTTCCCAGGCGGCTTTTCCAACTGACTGGAAGGTCTGGGTCTTTCCCCAGACCCTCCTCCGCGTCTTCCAACGAGCCGGGATCTCCCGGACTCGGCCTCCGCCAGGGTTCAGCGGGGCCGGACGCTCTCCGCGGCCCTAGAGGGGGCGCTGCGGGCCCCGGCAGCCGTATATGCCCGGGAGACTGAGGTTAAGAGCGCGACCCGCAGCCCAGGTCACACCTCGCCCAGAGCAAGGCAAGGCAGGCGGTGGGCTGAGCCCGCCACACCCGCCTCGGTCACCCGCCTTTATGGCGGCGGCGACCGGGCTGAGGGACCCGGCGCAGGTGAGTGGACGCGTGTCAGGCCCTCACGCTCAGATCCCTCCCAGCCGCAGGAGTCCGGCGTCCGGCTAGCAAAAGCGGGCCTGGCCTGTGGTCCTTTTCCACTGCTCTACTTTTGAGTCTAGGGCCGCGGACGCGAGTCACTACCAGCCCAGGGTCCAGAATCCAGGCCAAGGATTATGTAGAGCGGGTTCCATTTCCGAAACGTAGTGGGAGGAGGTAGGAAAGGGTTTCCGAGGCTCACGGACCTTGGAAATGCTTGGCGGTGAGATTGAGAGAGCAGGTGGGCTCAGGTCAGCTCTGGGATGGCGGGCTGAGGAGCTGGGCTTCTCTTCTGAGGGTGCTGGGAGCCACAGAAGGCTCAGAGCAGAGGAGGAAGGTGAGCTGATTCTGCTCTTATACCTATGAATGCAGAGTGGGAAATTGCGCGGTGAGGTAGACGTGATTGGATTTTGGGTCTGTCTCTTAAGTCAGGTTGACAAAATGTTTTGATGTGGACCGTGAGAATGAGAAGGGATGAGGACTTCATGGGCTTTGGTATTAGTAGCTGGAAGGATGGATTAGCTATCAACTGAGATGGGGTAGTTGGTTGTGGAAGAAATTTTCAGTAGAAAAACAGATGTTAGGTTATAGACATGTTGAGTTATGATGTTCTGAGTCGAGGTGAAAAGTGGGTAGCTAGACACACAGTGGCGGTATTCTGGGGAGGTGTAGTTAAAGTAAGAGAGGCTGAATGCACAAAGGGACAATGGCCAGACAATATATAAAAATAGAACTTTGACTCACAACCTGCAGCAACCTGCTCAGGAAACCAACCTCTTTATCTACAATAAACAGCCCAGGAAGACAGCCTGCTGTAAGTCAGACTTGCAGGAAGTCAGATTGCAGTCTCTGTAGTGACAATCCAGGAAGCTAAACAGTAACCTCCATAACAACTGGTTCCAAGTGGCCAGAGCTTGATTAATAACTGACAGCTTCTATAATTTTTCTTCCCTCTTCTGGCTTAGGTCCTACCAGAGAAAGTCAAATGTACACCCTAACCAATCACACAGGGTGCCCTACTTCTAGTTAGCCTCCCCACAGCTCCCCCATGCCAACAGGGCCCACCTGAGGCGCGTTGGCCCTTTTGTCCAATCTAAAGTTTCCTCACTCCTCTGTCTGCCCTCAAGTCTGCCAAAACGTGAGTGGCAGTGGCCAGTTCCCTTGCAAGCTCAGAATAATAGCCTTTGCTTTTCTCATTTGGTTGGTCTTCCACAGTTAGAAACATCCAAAATGTGGCACCTGGTATATGGATAAGGGTGTAGCTGTGTGTCTAATGTAGGAGAGTGACACTTCAGGTCCTGGTGGCAATGACAGAGGAAGGTGGGGCTTGAGAACATAAAGACAGATAAGGGAGAGTGGTGGTGGTGGTGGCTGGGCTGTGTAAGGAAAGGGAGTCTGACAGGTGGCCAGATTTCACTGGGGGTGTAGAGATGAGAAGCGCTGAGGCTTAGTTATAATAGAAGTAATATTACAGCGAGGCCTGGGCTAGTGCTCATTGCCACGTCTGCCCTCTCACCAGGCCCTGTGGTGACCCTTGGTTAGGCCTGGGAATTTTCATTCAGGCTTGGAAATTAACTCGGGGGAAATGAGGTCAACTGGGAGAGCCACTAGATCTAGGGTAGGTAGGAGTAGGAGGACCAGTGGATTGGCTTTGAAATGAGTGTGACTGATGAAGGCACAGACTGTGGAAAAGAGAAAGAGGGACATGGGATCACATATCTGTGTGTTCTGGGTGGCCTAGATTGGAGCCAGGAACTGGGGCAAGATGGGATCTTGGTTGTATTTGCCAAGAACTCTCTGGATGTTTTGTGCAGAGTGACCTTTGGGAATTGATGGAGATGGCTGTGATGTGGGCCAGGGTGGGGAGAGGGAACCCTCATGCACTGGTGAGGTACAGAGTTTGAGGAAGGTGCAGTCCAAAAAGTGGTATGCATTCAGGAGTGAATGTGAGCTGGTACTGGGGATAAAGGGAGAAGACTGAGGCTGCGTTTGTTTGTTTCTGGAAGGGATGACATTGGTGACACTAGGGGAGGGGGCCTACAGAATGGGGGGTTGGGCCCTGCACTTTAGGCCCAGAGCTTAGCTGCTCTGTGCCCATCTGCCTGTCAGTTATATGAGGCCTGAGAAAAGGGCACATGCCAACTAAACCAGGGCATGCGATCTCCTCTGAGTTGGGGAGCTGGAGAGGAGGGACAGACTGGGAGTCCTGAGGAGAGAAGCTGATCATGGAATGAACTGTCCTCATTATGGCAGGACTGTGTGACCTTTGAGGATGTGACCATCTACTTCTCCCAGGAGGAGTGGGGACTTCTTGATGAGGCTCAGAGACTCCTGTACTGCGATGTCATGCTGGAGAACTTTGCACTTATCGCTTCTCTGGGTAAGGCCTCCATCTGCACCTGAGTGTCTTGAGCTCGTCTCTCCCTGTCCCCTTTTCCCAAGAGGCAGTGTTTTCCTTCCCATGGCTGGACCATGGGTGCTGCTCCCTTCCCCAGGTCCCTGGTATATGTTATGGGTTCCAGGGGTGGGCTGTGTATAGGGTCCCATCCTATTCCTGAACAGCTCCAACTCCTGCTGCCCTGAAGCTTTGTGGGGAAGGGGCCAGGAATGAGAAGTCTTATGGTCAGCCCAGTGGATCCTGTCTGACTCAGCCACTTTCTGCCTGGGTGACTGCCCAGATCTGTGACAGTTCTGTCCTGCTCCTTTCCTTTAGCTAAGACCTGACCACCAGGAACTCTAGACACTGATGTGGTTACTACTTGCTATGACCGTTGGATGTTCCTGCCATAGCTCCCTTGTGTATTCTTTTTATAATGCTTTTTTTCCTGTTGTCTCTGGTGGGGTAGTTCACCTGGGCAGGTGCTAGCCACTTACCTGCCCTGTCCTTTCCTTAGGACTTACATCTTTCAGGTCTCATGTAGTTGCCCAGCTGGAAATGGGGGCAGAGCCCTGGGTGCCTGACAGATTGGACATGACTTCAGCCATGGCAAGAGGGGCATATAATGGGCCTGGCTCTGGTAAGTGGGAGATGGGGAAGCGTGTGATGTCACTGTTGCCTTCAAATCATACCTGCAACTTTTTTCATGTTTATCATTGTTTGGTGCCAAACTCAATGGCCATATCTCTTTTCTATCTTTCCTTTCCATTCTTGACACATTGCCTGCTTGTGATTTCTACTTTGACTTGGAACCCCTGGTTGTGCCCCAGTCTTCTGGCCTCCATGTCTCACTCTTTACACAGCTCCCTCTGTGGCCCTCTCCTATATGGGCCTGCACTTAATATGCCTTGAGATATGCACATTCCTTTTAACAGTCCTTAAACACTAGCTACCCAGTTGCAATCAGTCTTTACTGAGTCTAGACATCTCCTCCTGCACAGGGGCCCATGTGTTCCCAGCATCCAGGGTCTTGCTGAAAAGTCTTTATAGAGAAGTGACTTTGGGAAAAGTCACTTAGAGAAAAGACCATGCTTTTCTGCCCAATGCTATACCCCATTCTTGTGTTTTTGGTCTTAGTAGGGCCTCCCCTGTTTTGTAAACTTGCCAGGCACATACTGCAGAGCAGATCATTCTTTACCTTGACCTCAGGCCTCTCATCTTGCCAACAATCCCAAGGATTCATTCCTGGGTTAGATATGCACTTGTGACAGGGCTCATTCCTCCTATCAAAGTTAACCTGATTTTTACAAGCATTTCTCTACTTTCAGATGTCCGCCATGGAACAGAGGGTGACAAATCACCTTCTGAGCATAGTGTTTCTGTAGGAGTGTCACAGGACAGGAATCCCAAGACAGCTCCATCCATCAAGAAGGACTACCTCTCTGACATGTGTGACCTACACTTGAAAGACATTTTGCACCTGGCTGAACACCAGGAAACACATCCCAGGCAGAAACCATATGTGTGTGAGGCAAATGGGAGAAAGTTTGAGTTCATTGCAAACCTTCACCAGCAAAAGATGCAGCAGGACAAAGACAAGTCTATCAGAAGGCAAGAAGGTAGGGCCTTGCTTATGAAGAGTTGGAGAGATGAGACATCTGAGAAACCTTTCACTTTCAGGGAGGGTGGGAAGGACTTTGTAGCCAGATCTGGCTTTCTCCAGCATCAGGTCACTCACAGTGTGAAGGAGCCACACCAGGGAACCAGAGGTGTGGATGGTTTTCACACTGTCCAAGGCTGTAACAGGTACAGTGAGTTTGGGAATGCATTCAGTGACAAACCTACACTTGCTCAGCACCAGAGAACCCACACTGCCGAAAGACCTTATGAGTGCAGCAAATGTGGGATATTCTTTAGCCACACCACTGGCCTTTTTCAGCACCAGAGGGATCACAATAGAGGAAAGCCTTATGAGTGCTGTGAATGTGGAAAATTCTTTAGCCAACACTCCAGTCTCATTAAACATCAGAGAGTTCACACTGGTGAAAGTCCTCATGTATGTAGTGAATGTGGGAAATTCTTTAGCAGAAGCTCCAATCTCATTCAACATAAGAGGGTTCACACTGGAGAAAAACCTTACAAGTGCAATGAATGTGGGAAATTCTTTAGCCAACGCTCCAACCTCATTCATCATAAGAGGGTTCATACTGGTAAAAGTGCTCATGAGTGTAGTGAATGTGGGAAATCTTTCAATTGTAACTCCAGCCTAATTAAACATTGGAGAGTTCACACTGGAGAACGACCCTATAAATGCAATGAATGTGGAAAATTCTTTAGTCACATTGCTAGTCTCATTCAACATCAAATAGTTCACACTGGTGAACGGCCTTACGGATGCAGTGAGTGTGGGAAAGCCTTCAGTCGAAGCTCTGACCTCATGAAACATCAGAGAGTCCACACTGGTGAGCGGCCTTATCAGTGCCCTGAATGTGGGAAATCATTCAGCCAAAGCTCCAGCCTCAATAGCCATCGGAGACTTCACACTGGTGAGCGGCCTTATCAGTGTCCAGAATGTGGGAAATTCTTTAACCAAAGTTCCAGCCTCAGTAATCATCGGAGACTTCACACTGGTGAGCGGCCTTATGAATGCCTTGAATGTGGGAAAACCTTCAGACAAAGGTCTAATCTGAGGCAACACCAGAAAGTTCACAAACCAGATAGGCCATATAAGTGCAGTGAATGTGAAAAAGCCTTTAGCCAAAGGCCTACCCTCATTCGGCATGAGAAAATTCACACTAGAGAAAGGAGTACCGAGAATGTGCTTCCTCCTTCGGCACAACAGTGCACACTAGAGATAAGCTCTGAGAGTGGTCTTTATGAGGGAGCCATCAGCCAAAAGTTGGACCTTGTTCATCCAAATATTCACCCTAGGGAGATTCCCTATGAATGCTAGATATGTTGGAAGCTTTCTGAAGCTAAGTTGTGCATTCTGACCATGGACTTTACCAGTGTTTTTGGCAGGAGCCATCTCACCTCTACCCACTGACAGGTTTTCAGGGTGTGTGGCAACTACTCCCTGTGCTCAGTGAAGGCAGACTTCTCTTTCTAAGAGAATTGTGAGTAGCCTGTGGCCATAAGAATTCCTCAATCCCTCCCATTCTGACTTGTGTAGCTGGAACCTGACCCATCTTTGTCCATGAAGACCTGAGCTGGGTTCTGCTGGCTGCTTGCTGAGAAGGTTTATTTTTTTCAAGGACATTGTTGATATGGTGCTCATGATGAATTTATCCAGCCCCCACATTAACCAACCCAACAACTACCTACTTTACATTGCTCTGGTTTGGGTGATAATAAGGGTTTTATTGATAGAGCCACTTTAATGTTCTGTGTTCTTCTGATGTTCTGATCACTGTGTGGAATGGGTTGAAAACAGAATTAAGGTCTACCAAATTAAAGGGGTCCCCAAATTTATTGTTTCAGAGGGGACAGCAGGATAGCAGAGAAGACCTCAATCCAGATTTGACCTCATTTGTATTGGTATTCAAGACCTCCTAGAGAAAATTGTAGGGCTTTTGAAGGTCTAATATCTGAAGCATGATTTTTTTATGGACCAGAGATTACTTTGAGGAAGGGACATTTGTGACAAACTCTGGTGCATTTGAGAGTAGCATGAAATAGGCTGCTTTTTTCCAGGGAATGCGCCATATTCCCTAGCACTGTTGAACAGACACTGTTTACTTGGCACCTGCCAAGGAGCCATATACCTTGAAGTCTAACATCTGGTATTTGATTGTAAGTCTTTGATTGTAAGACTTACTGGGTCCAGTGGGACCCTAATTTGTACAGAAACACTGGGGGTTATGACGGAGTAGGTGAGAATACAGCAAACAAGAAATGTACCTTTTAAAAGAACATCTACCAGTGTTCCCTTGAATCTGACTGCAGGATTCAGGCTTTGCAGAAATTTTGAAGACCACCAGACCTCTGTCCTGTGACTAAAGTTACTGGCAGAGTAAATAATCTAAAAAGTGTTGTCAATTACTGCAGGCTCACGCTATCTCTGGCCATTGTTACGTTGGCAGAAAGGAGGAGGTAGATGCTGAAGTCCAGGGATGTAGCATTTGTGAGAGAGCCAGCCACTTTTGCTACCGAGGCAAGGAGAGAGATAGTAGAGTCATTATAAGGTTGCCAAGTCTTCTAGTTTTCTGAAATGAGTGGAGATGGGATTCTTACGTGCAACAATTTATTTTAATGCTTTGTTGAGATAAAATTGTAAGGCAATAATTTACTACATATTTAATACATACAATTTCATAAGTTATAAGTGTGTATATACTCAGGGAACCAACACTATAGTCATGATAATAAACCTGTCCATCACCCACAGAGTTACCTTGTGCCCTTTATTATTCCTCGTTGTTTTTCCCAGGAAACCATTAGCCACATCCCAAGGAATCTGAATTTACCTGTTTTTTCATATAGATTTGTTTGTCTTCTGTATAATTTTATACAATTGGGATCATAAAGTACTTATACTCTATTTTTGGTCTATTTTCTTTCATACAGGATAATTATCTTGGGAACATCCATGCTGTGTGTATGAGTGGTTCATTCCTTTTACTGTTGAGTAGTGCTCAGTTGAGTGAATCCACCAGTTTGGTTTCTTTTGTAAATTAAAATTCTGGTAAAATACAGATATGGTAAAATTTACTATGTTAACACTCTTAAGTGCACAGTTCAGTGGTATTAAGTATACAAGCATATTGTTCAAACATCTCTACCATTCATCACTTTTCATCTTGTAAAACTGAAACTTTACACCATGAATAACTCCCAATTCCCCCTTTCCAAGCACCTGGAAACCACCATCCTACTTTCTGCTTCTATTAAGGCACTTAGGCTATATTCAGCTCTAGGAACCTCATATATGAAATCATATTGTATTTGTCTTTTGTGACTGACATTTCACTTAGCATAATGACCTCAAGGTTCATTCATGTACCATTCATCAGAATTTTCATTATTTTTTCAAGACTGAAAAATATGCCATTGTATATATATGCCATATTTTGCTTATTCATCTGTCAATGGATATTTGGTTTATTTCCCCCTTTTGACCATTGTGAATAATACTGCTAAAAGCATGGGTATACAAATATCTTTTTGAGATCCCGCTTTCTATTTTTTAGGGTATATGCATGAAAGTGGAATTACTGGATAATATGGTAATTATATTTTTAATTTTTGAGGAACCTCCATACTGTTTTTCACAGTGACTGTACCATTTTACATTCCCACCAACAATATCCAAGACCTCTAATTCTTCACATCTTCACCAACACTTGTTTTTTATGTTTGTTTGTTTGGATAGTTTTTATCCCAATAAGTGTGAAGTGGTATCTCATTGCTTTGATTTGCAGTTCCCTAATGATTCATGGTAGTGACTATTGTTTTATACACTTGTCATTTGTATATCTTCTGTAGAGAAATGTCCATTCAAGTCCTTTTTCCATTTTTTATTGTTGTTCAGTAACAGTTGTCCCCATTTCCACACCCCCCCACCATTACTCTCCCCTGCCCCATCCAACCCCCACTCCCAAAGACAATCCCCATCCCATTGTCCTTGTCCATGCGTCCTTTGTACATGTTCCTTGACTTGACCCTTCCTCTTCTTTCCTCCATTATCTCTCTTGCTCCCCCCCCCTTGAAGTCACTGTTAGTTCTTTATTTCCATGTCATTGGTTCATTTTTGCTCATTTGTTTTTTTGATTAAGTTCCACTATAGGTGAGATCATATGGTATTTGTCTTTCACTGCCTGGCTTATTTCACTTAGCATAATACTCTTGAGTTCCACCCATGCTGTCACGAAGGGTAGGAGTTCCTTCTTTCTTTCTGCTGTGTAGTATTCCACTGTGTAAATGTACTGCAGTTTTTTGATCCACTCATTTACCGATGGGCACTTAGGCTATATTCAGCTCTTGGGTATTGTACACTGCTATGAACATAGGGGTGCATAAATTCTTTTGAATTGGTGTTTCAGAATTCTTAGGGTATAATCCCAGCAGTAGAAGTAGAATTGCTGGGTCAAAAGGCATTTCCATATTTAGTTTTCTGAGTAAGTTCCATACTGTTTTCCACAGTGGCTGCACCAGTCTGCATTCCTACCAACAGTGCACTAGGGCTCACCCTCTTTGATTCTTACTCAAGACATTCACTCTAAACCGCTTTACAGTGTGGAATGAGTTTCTTATCCGGTGTTCCTTGCTGTAGTCCAATAACCAGTTACCCCACATATACTCAGGGGAGAGGACCTTGGACAGTTTGTGGTGAAGCAGATATCTGTTTAGATGGCTCTAGTCATGCCACACAATAACAATGTGATTGGCTTGGTCAACCATCATCGCCTTGTGGCAGGTCTTGGTGAGTCTGTAAACCTCCATCACTGACCCCCCAAATAGGGCCTTTGTGTAATAAAAGTCCCCCTCATCTTCAGGAATATGGGCTTGTTAATGAGGCCTGCATTCATAGGGAAAGTTGTTTCAACTGAGCCAATAGAAGCCAAGATGGAGGGTGCCCAACAAGGAGGACAGGATCTCTACACCCACATGGTTGCTGAACTTCAGGTCCACATCCACAAGATAATCTACCTCCCGGTGGAAGCGCTGCTCAGAGAAATTGTTGATCATCGCCATATGGTGCATGGAAATGTCTTGCCAGTGAGTATAGCTCTGGACCTTGAGGATGATGATCTGACTTCCTTTTTGAAGGTGGAAATGAGGCACATGATCTGGCCAGTAAGTGAAGATGTAGTAGTTCACCCTGTGTCCCACCATGAAGTACATCTCTGTGGTCTCCAGGAACAGTTTTAGGAAGATAATGTATGATTTTATGCCAAAAACCCAGTCAATACAATAATGGTGTTCTGGAGCTGCAACTGCTTGTTCAGGATGTCAATGTTGAAAGTCCCCTCCCACATGATGGGAACAAGTGAAGGGGTCATGACAAGGACATCTTTCCTAGAGGGCATTAGCACATCTGGCTGAGGATACACGATCCTTGGTAATTCTACACCTTGCAGGTTGTGGCATTTTCTAACAGTCATGCTGGCCCCAACCTGGATGATTTCCACCCTCTCTCTTTTTGGGTTCATGTAACAATAGCCAAAGAAGGCCATGATGAGACCTATTAGAAAAAATAAAGGTCACTCAATGAAGCAAATAACATTTTGGGTTTTGTGGCAATGTCTTCACAAGCTTGGCCAGGGCTCCACTTCTGACTGTTGCAGCCTGGATCTCCTAGAGGTGCTAAGCATCTGCTCCTCCTTGACCTTTCACTCACAGCAACTTCTCCTGGGCAAAGTGAGGCAGAATGCATGGATGATGGAGGTGCTCACATCCCCTGTTCCTTGTGAGATCCTACCTCCATCCAGGGGGCATCTGGGTGCTGGATCTTCAGGGCCACTGAGCTGAGTAAAACTCCTATACTGGAAGAACCTCAAAAAATTCAGTTCTGAATTGATGTCATGTCAAAGTAATCAGGTGGTAGGGCTTAGTAAACTGGCTGCTAGGACTTCTTCTTCGGTATGTAAGAGAGAAGTCAGGGATCCTGAAACATGCAGGAGACTGGCTCAAGGGAGGCCACTGAGCAAGTCAAGACAGAGATTGTGATGAAAGCAGAGAAAAGCAGCAGGCAACAGAGCCTGACCAGAGGCTTAAAGGGCTTGTGCTCTGGCCTTCCCCTGACACTTACTAACTGGGAGCTAGGAACAAAACTTTCTGAAAAATCAGTAAAGTTAAGGTCAGATTGTCTTCAAGGTCATACTGTACAGGATAACATGGGCCAACTTTCAGGAGCCATGATTTGGTGACCAAGGTGGAAGAGTCTGACTATCTAGAGATTAAGGATTGTTTTCCTTTATTCCTCTGATAATCACATACAGTTTCATTGAGCAT